CTAAGAAAGTCAAAACGTAATTATTTCTATGTCTTTTGCTCAATAGGTTGTCAACTCACAATTAAACGATCATAGGTGTCATTCTCACACTTACAACTCATTTACACCGTAAATAATAACACAATTACCTCCCTTGTTTTCTATTCTCCACCATGGAGTAGCTTTTTCAAACGTTTGAAAATGAAGAGGAAAATGATATTTTTGCCAATTTCTCAGCTGGCAATAGTGAATTATAGGATTAATAGGATTATTCTTTAACAAGGTAGGACTGTTTATGGATACCATCTATTTTCAGGCTTTATTTTAATAAATTTTAAAAATATAACTTAAAAATTTGCAATTTCCGCTTTAAGCTAAACAAAAGTAGTTTACCGTGGCGGTTGCGCGGTAAGGGAACTGGATTCTCTACAAGAATGTATTGGGTTCTAATCCTGGCGTAGGCCGAAAATAATATAGGGAGTTTTCAAGCCCGGTTCTCAATTATAAGAGATAAGGCCTGTGGGGCTTCAAGTAAAGTGTTGTGTGATCGTACGGATTAGACCAAAATCTAAGGTACATAACAGTGTCAAAGAAACCGGACAGTTGAGATTCGATTGAGGGTAGACGCAGAAACATAGCTGTACACAGTGGCCATAGACAAAAAACACAATTGATTGAAGTGCTGTGATAACAAGACGTTGAATAACACCCTCTCCTGTCGTAGCGTACCTTAATAACAAACACGTTCGGTGGCCCAAACATGAAACAGTTCCCTCAAATCGCAATACGCGGAATTCTACGAGATTACTATCGGTTAACCATAATTTAATATACCCTTCAAAAAAAGTAGGGGATATTCAGAAATAATATAAAACTGCAGAAATGCACTGCTGTTTTTATTAGAGGTAACCAGTGTATGTTAATAACAGGTCAATTGCCTACACATGAACATAAACAGTTCATATGGGCGGCTTACCTCACGGCCCCATTTCACTCGCAAAGAGATACGCCGTCAAAAGTGAAAATGGAAGTTTTTGAGTTTTGTCTTAATAATAAATAATTGCTCCACCAATCCTCAGACATTCAGCAATTCGTCGTGGCATGCTCATAATCAACCGTCCAATCACGATTTGGGGCAATCTGACCCACTCCTCTTGCAATGCCACGGCCAATTCTTGCAGTGTTGTTGGGGGACGTTGACGTCGACGAACACGTCTCCCGATCAAATTAAACGAAACACACTAAAGCAAAGATACACTAAACAGTAAATCTTATGCAAGAACCGATAGGAAAGCAAACATGGATAAATAAACCAGCACGCGGCAGTTTTCATCAACCCTTCCTTGAAGTGTCAAATTTGACAATGAGCATTTCAATATCCCCTACTTTAATTTGAAGAGTATATTAGAACCAGTGGTATTTTCGAAGCTTCTGTTTGAATGCGCCTTTACTTTCGTCATGTATAATGTTTCATTAGATCCAATTAAGCTTATATAGAACGGAAATTGAAACGAGAGAAATCTACCAGTTACAAATTGGTAGTAATAAACTGCCACATATTATGGCTGTTATTATATGTAATTGTTGTATATTAATATACTAATTACTTCAATTATAGAACTGCATATATTATAGTTAATTATATATATATATACATGCATTACTATATTACAAGTATCACGCAGAAAAATAATTGCCCAATGGTTCCCAACCTGGGATAAATTTACGCCTAGTTGCACAATTTGCTAAAAATGGGTGCTGGGTTTTTTTTCGTTTGTTTATATTAATTCTAAAGGGCGATATTGCAGAAGAAAACTAGTGAAGTGGAATTAGACTACCCAGTGGGTCAAATGAATGGTTCTGGGTTTGTACATTTTTTCCCCCTACAATTATAACTTTTAAATCCGTCGGGAAGAAAATAACAGTATTATGTGGATATTTGAAACCTAAAACCCCGGTACCAACATGGTTTCGCAATTAGTTTTGAGTTCTTCACCCGCTGGCCTTCCGTTGAATTTAAAAGGGTAGATGTTGGGCTGATCTAAATATGAAAGCCACCTGCATATTTCGTTAAGGTCACGAGATGCAAACAGAAGACCACAAGCGTCACCCAAGGAAGACAATCAGCGCAACCAGCACCAAACAACAACGGAACCAATTTTGTATATAAATTTAATGTATTTTATAAAAACTAGGAAATTTTCATCATCCTAGGTCAGTGCTTATGTGGGGACATAACTCCTCCCCCAAATTCTTACACCTAACCCTAGACCTAACCCAACCCAAAATCCTCGAAAACAATCACGTATCCTAATCCCGTTTACATCTCGTGACTTAACCGGTAGATGTTTTGTCTGTGGACGCTCACCATCTTTCCTACGGTCTCCGATGCAATATACTATTACTAGTACCGAGAGTAATTCCTTTGGATGAAATTTACCCGCAAAAATCTATCCTGCAAAAGGCATTGTGTCTAATTAACCAAAGGAAACGGGATCGAATAGGCCTCCTAATCGATCCCGCGTCTCCTACCTATGCTAGACTATAAGCCTATTATTTGACTCCTCTAGCAAGTTTTCCAGGAAACACTTGTCTGCGATATCATCCAAGGTGAAAGCGGACGTTAAGACTTAAGGACGATCGAACGACTGTGGGCTTTATGTGTTTGTAACGTGAAGAAATTCACACTTAACCAATCCGTAGCCATAGACCGCAAATGAAGAGATTATATAACCGTATTCTAATAAACATGAGCAAGTTCTTGAAGAATCTCGCAGCTCAACATGCACTTCTCCATGGAGCCAGTCGCCTATATTCCAACCTGTTCTTCTTGTCCTCCTTCTTACTGTTCTTTTGGTGCTGCATAACTAGTAGTTTTTGATTGTTATTTCCATAGCTCCTGAACAGGAAACCGCGAGAAAAATTGTGTGACAGTATTGGGTCTTTAAGTTAGGTTCTTGATGACAACACTGGTTTAACATCTTATAATACTTTTATTCTCCTTCTTACATATCAAGTATAAACATCTTAATATTAAAGACCCCATAACTAACTTGTATTGAGGGGGCCATGTCCTAGCTTCCAACTCCCACACGCTCTAGCCTCCTCTGTCGATTCGTTTGTATTCTGGGTTTATAAACCCTTCTAGACAAAGCATGTCAAAAGATTACACATCTGGCTATTGCCCGATCAAGGCTTCGGTACAGATTGCTTTACCAGACAAAGGCCTTGCGTAACTCAGGTCAGCTGTGATGATTAATGACTTCACTAACGACTTCCGCATGGCTGTTAGTCGTGTCAAGCTAGTGCCTACGTTTTGTCCATCTGATAAGATTGCTAATTGATTTCAATGTAAGGAGGATTTTAAGTGATATTTCCTCAATTGTGTAAAAATTGTGTAAACTTAGAGTGGATCTGGAACATATCTCATGGCTGTTTGCTAGAATTAAACCTCGACTCCTAACCCCTACTCCAACGTCATTTCTTATCGTGATTCTAATTAGTATTCAATTTTTGTGTTACAAGAGTAATGTCGCATAACTATGCTATTTCTCTCCGCTTCCTTAATATACTAACAAGCGATTGTTATGCAAGATGCGACCACACTTTCTAAGAGTTGGGCGGAGAACAGTCAAAATCGATAGGATCCCCCAATGCTTCAAATCGAATTTGAGAAAAGAAACTAATATTGCGTTGACAAGGATTTTGGAAAGGTGTTGGGGCAGAACTCTGGAAAAGCAGAATGCGGAACGCTGAATAGGATAGGGTTCGTCCTTTCATGACTCCAATGCTTCACATCAAATATGAAATAAATCCATTAAATCAGAGGCTCTTCGGGACAGGGGAAAAACTCTGAAACGGAAGGTTATGGAAAGCTGAATATCGATATGATCGCACTACTTCACACAAAATTTGAGAATTTGTGAATAACATATACAAATAAATGTAAAACTACAGCGAAAAATATGTAATGTTTGTAACATAACGCTCTAAATATACCACTGCCTGTTTTTATAATATAAATTTAATGTATTAGTATGAGGTAATATAGGATTACTGTAAAAGATGGGTAGATTAACTGTAAAAGTGTAGTTTCATAAGTAAGAACTGTGTTTTTGTACATGTAATCTGTATTGATAGAACTATATTTGTTAAAAGTAAATGTATGCTGTACTGACTGTTTTGTATGCGTAATTCTACTGTTCAAACATGTTTAAATACAGTATTCGTGTACAATCTACAGGAAACATGTAATTTTAGATCTCTTTTGATCTTTAACATTGATAAACCTTTTAAGGCTACTTACATTACGTCTGGTTTATTTTTATTCATTGTAAATTTACACGGTGTTTGTAAATCTAAATTTTGCATTTAGGTTTAAATATGCATATCAATGATAATATAGAGTCATTTTACAGGCAACTTTCTGCCAGTCAATTTACAGTGTAGAATATGTCTTACTTTCGGCAATGGATTAATAACTTAATTATCGATAGGGTTCATCCCTGGCGGACGGACCAACATATAACGATGAAAGTCGATAGGTTTCATGTTCTCATGTTCCAAATTCGTCACAATAGAGTTCCCAACTAATTTTGTTTCATTTTCTTGGTAAAGGCGGGAAGTTACGGTCCGATGCTCACCAAACTCATTCGAGATCTTTTGATTCTTAACATACATTTTAAGTTTCATCTAAATCAGAAAATAATTATGACCTCAGAAGCTTTGTATATATTTCAAATATTGCGTATATGGGAGGGGACATAACCTAAGCAGTTGCAGTCTCATGCGCACCAAAATCGAACTCATCCAAGATATATTGACCATATACGAAAACAGACAAAATTATGGGGCGTTCAGAGGTCCCACAATGTTGGTATAAATATTGTGACCTCTATAAAGGATCCACAAAAAGGGAGGAGTTTGGTTTAGGAAATTTCATTTCCGGAAGATAATAGTTATGGTTTCACTTCCATAACTACGTAACTAACGCCGCCTTAGATAACAAATCGACCCACATCTTTCAGTAGTAGCCTAGATTTATTTTAACCAATGGTCTGTGAACTACAGTGATATTTAATAACTCCACCGTACGGTCTGCATGAACAGTTCTGATACAGTCTTCCATTGTAAACATATGCAAACTGGGGACCATCGGGTGCGTGACATTTGCCATAGGCATCCTTGCACACTGAAATACCAAATTATATTTTTATTTTTATATGAGAGAGAGAGAGAGAGAGAGAGAGAGAGAGAGAGAGAGAGTGTGTGTTTAGCGGCTTTTCTTTGAGAGAGTTATCTACTCACCACATAGTAGCCCAAGTCATTTCGGGATTAATACAATTACTGTCTTTAGCTCTGGCAGAAAACCCGAGTACTGGGGACGGAGAAATGTACGAGGCAACAATAGTCCTATGGCTTTGAAATATTTGAAATCGACAAATAGCTGCAGGTTGCTTGGTTAAATTAAGTCAATTCAGTTAACATATTATACAAAATGGAAAAGTCTTATATTTACGTGAAATTGGATTTGATTAAACGAAATGTTTATTGTCCAACCTCAAGCAAACTATGTGTTACCTACAATTGACGATTAGGAAGATGTGTCTATCGGTAATTGTAGCGAGGTCAGGTTTGGGGTCCAGAGAACGCAAAAGGCATGTGAAGATGACAAGATGTCGTTTCTTCTCGGGATTGAGGAATTGCAGGGCCCTAGGCACTTATTTTCTGTTTTGGAAGCTGTGTCATTTTATTTAACAGATAGAGTAATAAAGAGACAACAGGGAATTGTAGAGTTGGTTGGCAAATGCATTTTTCTTTCAACAAGATATATGAATCAGTGCGAAAAATGAATAAATGGATGAATGAATGAATGAATGAAGTTTTCTGCTTCAATCGGGATAATGAAGACGGACATACAACAATTGAATGCCAACTTTCAGGTTTTTTACGTGTATGCCAGGGTGTACACGGAATCTTTCTTTTTTGTCCCATCCGAACGACTATACGCCGGTAATAGTCAGGCCGTCCGTCCTGCACCAATAACAAGTGGTCTGCCAGGGGAACTTCACCGGCCAATACATGGACCGAGACCATGACCTCCAGGTTAATAAGCCAGTGCCTTGTCCACTGAGCCACAAATAGCAAAATATAAAAAAAAACTCTGTTATAGGCCTACTCACTAGTTGTTATTACAGATGTTCGCCAGCCACCATTTGGTAAACCAGAACATTGATAGGTAGTACAATCATTGGTATATCTACTATCGCGTGGGTGACACTGTCCACGTTCATCTCTACAACCTAATACAACAAAGAAATATATAAATACTAACATAACTAATGATATGACAGATAACTATCAACATGAACACAAAGTAACAGTATTATTCAGTTATGGAAGTTTACCAACCTAAAGAAATTTCATCCATTTTAATTTATTGCGTAAAGATATTTAACAAATAAATAAATATTAACATACCTTAACATATATTAACCATGACAAATAATTAATAGAATGAAAAAATGGGGCAGCATTTGAATTCCAACAGTCAATGGCTTTTTTACGTGCACGCCAACGTGTACACGGGACCTCGGCTTTTATCTCATCCCAACGACTAGACACTATACATATCAGCCAAATTAACGAAATTTGTAGATTATTATATATTTACCAAAGAAACGTATACAGTCTACTCATATTTCGAATTCCAACTGCCAGGGTTTCTTGTACGTACAAATCAATGTGTACGTGGGACCTCGATTTTTCGTCCCAACCGAACGACTAGATACTCTCCCTGTCAGGCCCTCCATCCTACTCCACTGACAAGGGGAAACCACGCCTGAAATTTCCGAGAAACTTTCTAGGCCAACACCAGGAGCGAACAAGGGATTTGCTAATTAGCGAGCCAGCGTCATATTCACAGAGCAACTGCGAATTATACACAGTGTACGTGTACCTGGGGTTTTTGGGGGTTTTTTTGGTTTTTTGGTTGGGGTTTTTGGGGGGTTGGGGGTGGGGTAAAAAAACAATATTTTATTTAAAAATTGAAAGAGATTGAGGAACGGACATAGATGACCTCTCTCGGGTAACGGCAAGGCACTTCTTACCTGATTCTAGAGCACTATTTACCAGGGACCTGTTTCACGAAATTTTAACTAAGATAAAATCCAAATTTTAGTAATTTGATTGGATAATATTAGATTGATTTTAGTGCTTAGCCAATCAAAATTGAAGTATCTACTAAAATTTGGATTTTATCTTTAGTTAAGATTTCGAGAAACAGGGTCCTGAATGTGGAGTTATCTCTATGTAACGGTTAGGCACTAATTACCTGATTGTGGAGTTATCTTCCAATGGCCGTTAGACTCTACCTTACAAGTATATTCAACACAACCTTCATTCCATGATGATCCATCAGCATGACATCTACCTGCCAAATCTTTGCATTCTGAATATAAAAAAGGGAAATAAAGTTTCCGAGCCCGAAAGTACGGACAGATAATTAAGTGACCATACTGAAATAATTATGTTACTTAATGTAACTTTCAAATCACATATAATACAACTAATCGTTTATATTATATCCATTTTTTAAAAAAAATAGGAATGGATAAAATGGGGTGTAGCGTCCTACTTTTCTGCTTCAACAGAGCTAACGAAGGTGGTCAGTGTGCTATGAAAGACATTTTGCCCGGACAGCAATTGAATTCCAACTGTCGAATCTTCTTTTACGTGCACGCCAAGGTGTACACAGGACGTTCATTTTTTTTTTTTTTTTTTTTTTTTTTTTTGCACCATCCGAGGAACCTTCTCGGCCAACACCGGGATTCAACCCTGGATCTCCAAATGAGAGAGTCAGTGCATTACTCACTGAGCCACAACGGCTCCAAATTAATGTAGTACCTATAGATAATATCAGGCATATCGCAGCGAGGGCTTCCTGGTCCACCCTCAGTGTCTATCCTTTGTCATCTCTAAACCAGCTACTTAAACATGCATTATATAAGAGCTAAATCTGCCTTTTGTAGGTCTTTGTTTTGGCTTCAAATGTTATTTAAACTATTATTTAGACATTTATTATCATGACAAGCCCATAGTCAACTCTCTAGACCATCGGGTGACAGGGATTTAAAAGATCTTAACGACAGCTAGATTTAAAAATTAACGAAAATATTGGTAATCGAAACTACGTCACGTTTGTCCAGTACCGTTGCCAGTAAAAAAAAATCTATGCTACATCTTCCAACATTCATAAGTTCACTCAGAATAAAGTAATTTTAATGAAATGTTCAATATGTTCATTTTTCATTATCTATTTTTGAACTATTGTCGCAAGAATGGCTAGCTCTTTATCTAAATCTTACACAATGTTTCTTTAATTATTACACAAACGTCATTATACGTAACGATAGCTTTAGATGTAACGACATACCAACTTGAGCGAGTTGTGCTACTCCATTTTCGCATCTATACGTCGTACATGGGTCATAGTTTAGATGAAAGCTCTGTCCATTCCGGTAACTTTGTCCATTTACATAACAAAAATCGTCTGAAAAAAAAACATTGAGTTAGACATGCATTATACAAGAGCTAAATCTGTCTATTGCAGATCTTTTCTTTAGGCCTGAAATGTTATCTTAATTATTAATTAGATATTAATTGACTTATCCAGACCATAATCAACTCTCGATACCATCGGTAGCCTGCGATAATTAGTGGATTTGAATACATTTTGTGATGGATAATTTAACGTAAAAATAGATAATCAAGACCTTGTTTATTATCGTACCAACGTTAGCAATGACGATGGGGCTATAGTAAAATTGAATCGCTAATATCTCGGTTCAGAATGGAGCAATTTGACTGAAATGTTCACCATTATGTTGTGACTATTATAGCGAGAACTGCCAACTCTTTATCTAATCTTACCTAATGCCCCTTTAATGTTTAGCAGGATAACGTACATTAGACTCAAATATACTATAATCAGTATTAAAGTTAGATTCCGTTTATAAGCCTATATTAAAATGGAAACATCTTGATCCTTCATGTAAACCTGTCGCCCGTACTTGGCTAATAACACAGCAGATTGGGTCACCAAGTATCACTCAAGCCAATCAGTTACGCTAAAGCCGTCTTGAATCTTGTAAAACCATTAAAGTCGCTAAGTCTCTAACTCAATATCATCAAAAACCTTCGACAATGAAAACACGAATTATTTGTCAATTTTAATCAACATTGGTGTTGTGATATTACCGGGAAAAGATGGGCTTCTGATATCCAATATTTAAGACAAAATAAACATTTTACGATTGGTACACGAATCGTGTACCATATTGCGTTTCAGCGCAATTTGTAACAAGCGACTTGGAAGAACGGGGTTAGACATATTCCACAAGTCATGTCAAACGGTGACCTCATATTCTTCTCTAGAGAGCATACCCAATAAATATTATCGGTGTAGATTGGAATAACCAGACGCTACTTTTTTAGCACCGATTGGGCTAATGAAGACGGGCATACACCATACAGTTAGCCATGAGAGACGGGGTGAATCAGGGATTCACTAGCCACCTAGGGCCATTTGACAGAGTCTTCTAATGTAGGTTTATATCGTGATTACAACTTTAATTTCAAAAACAAGCCTTAATTGGCTTTTAGAAGGAATATATAATAAGGCCTCCTAATTATTTCAATTTAGAAAACATTACTGGAAAAATGAACTGGAAAAAGGGACATCTATGGTGTCATTTTTTTTAAAGTGATTGAAAAAAATCTTACAACTTTTCTTTGCTCTGTCTTCCGATTCATCAGCATTGGCCATGACAGCAACAAAAAGAGTTGCACCCAAAATCAACATTTTCAACATTTTCCTTTATTTTGGTGGGAAAAAAAAACAAATACGGTAAGTATAGTATTTCTAATGTATATAACTGGAATAATATAAAACAATAATTTATTTTTGAAAGCAAATCAAGATATTTCTATATTTCCTTTGTACCAGCGTTGTTTACATTTATACTTTCTGTATGATCCCGTCTTTATTTGCCAAGCATGTGCAGAAAAATAGAATGTTAAACGCCGCCAAAATATTTAACTGGATAGGCGTGGTGTGCTTATATTCCTCTCTGGGTCCTAATCCATACGCCCATTAATGTTCCGCAGATTACGTATTTTAGGAATCAGATCGTGGGCTTTATTAAATGGATTAAAATTCTTTTTAGTAATGCAATAAGTACTATAAAGTGTAATGGTCATTTGTCTCCCTTCTTCGATTGGTCAAGGGGAATAAAACAAGGATATCCGATATCAGCCACCATAGGGCCATGCTATATGTATTGACAGCAGAACCACTTAATATTATCATAAAACAATCTCCTCTTAAAGGTATTAATATTAGTGGCTGTGAGGCGATTTCATTGATATACCAACATGCAGGTAATATCACTTTAACTCTCTCGGATGAAAAATCAGTAAATAATGTTTTTGAAATTATTGAACCCTATTGTTTAGCATCAGGAGCAAAAATGAATGTTGAAAAGTCGGAAATAATGCCTGTTGGTAAATCGGTCCATACCACATATAGCTTTAATATACCAGTTAATATTGTTACTGAGTGCATGTTAATTCTAGGTGTATATCTTGGACCGAATAAACTGTATTGTGAAAATATGAACTGGCGTACTAAAGTTACAAAAATCAAACAAATTCTTAATTTATGGAGTAAACGAAATCTAACCTTACATGGCAAATCCACTGTTGTACAATCGCTAGTTTTAACTAAATTATATTTTCTTATGGCCGTTCTACCAATACCCCCGGATATTGAAATTGAAATAAACAAGGCTATTCGTAACTTCCTTTGGAATGGTAAACCTCCACGTATAAAACAAACTTCGGTTATTGGGAATAAATGCGACGGTGGATGTATTTTATTAACACGTACGGTAATTTTAATCTTGGTAAAGATATCTTAAAAGTTTTATATACCAAAAGGTTATTGAAGAATTTACCAGATTTTTATAAAAACTTACTAGAATCCTGGGATGATTTAAACAAAGGCACAAGACCCTTCCCAGATACAATTGTGGATATAGCTATACAACCATTGTTTAACAATAAATATATTAAGAATAATAATAAACCCCTAAATAATGATACTTTCAAAATTTCGGGCATTAGACAAATAGCTGATATTTTAGATAATACTAAGCCTGGGTTTGTATCTACAAAACGTATTATTAGTTTAATTCACGCTTATAACCCTAAACGTAGATATAACACAATTGTTAGAAATTATGAATTAATTAAGACATAGTTGAGAGTAATTCACACTAACACGTATGTAACAACAATGTCGTCTTCCAACACGAGTCATGTGATAGACGATGAATTGATAACACCAAACTTCTAAATTCTGCTATCAGAAGCTACTCAGCTATAAATTTGTTCAACCTAATTGTTTAAATTATTGGGAGAAAAAGAGTTTCGTGTGTAATTTTCCTATCATATGGAAAAACGTGTTTTGTACTTACAAAAATCCTAAATGTGTTGACTTAGATTTTAAAATTGTACATAATATATTATGGTCAAAAGAAAAGCTATTTAAGATAGGTAAAGTAAGTGACGAATATTGTCGTGTTTGTAAATTAATGCTCGAAGATATTGAACATTTATTCATTAGATGCCAACATTTGACAGATTTCAAACTTTTGATTAAAGATATACTAGTGGATATATTGAAAATGAATATAAGTATTAATGAACTAGGCACTGTTATTTTATTTGGTCTTCAACAGTCATGTAAAACCCTTCCAATAGAGTTATGTAATATTATTTTATAAACAAGGATTAAATGGTGAGATAAGCATTGACTTTTAAAAAAAAAAAAAAAAAAAAAAAAAAAAGTTATTTCAAATGTACATAAGCATTTTTCAATCCTTTTTAACAATTTCATAATGGTGTATATTAATGTATATATGAATACATTCTAAAGCATATATGTATTGTATATGATATTGTATTTAAAATTTGTGAATAAACATTTTTCAAGAAAAAAAAAATGCCAACAAAGTTGTAATTTGTAAAAAAATAATAAATAAAAAAAAAGAGTCGCTTTGGCTACTATAACTGGTTCACAACACTCTTCAGTATATTAACACATCGATAGTTTTAACCAGGGATTTATTTTTAAAATATCATGTAAGAAACGTTGGCTTACCTACTATTGTGTATTTCTATCGTAAAATAACCAGCCACGTTGTTAACGCGAGGTTTTTATACATAAATGACATTAATTATTAACTAATTTCAAAGTTTTTACAGCAAATGAATCCTAATGAAAATTACTAAAATCATAATTATTTTTAGCTATAATGACATTAATCGTTGATCATCACGAAATCTGAATACACCATATTGTTAAATTAAAAGGTTAAACAGTCATTTCATGGATCATTAGACAATAAATATCAAATAATTGGCAATGGGACATAAAAACAAAGCCGTAAATGTACACTGCTATAAATTGCTCATTATGGAGTCCCGGAAACAGCAATCAACTCCTACGGTCCTACTCCTCTTCTTTCGTACAAACTGTTAACATCGGCACTGGGATGTCTCGAGGACGAGTTAATGGAACAATAAAGCTTTGCTGGGGTTGCATGTTCAACAAAATATCGGCCATATCCCAAAAAGGCGAATGGTTTTAATCTCTAAATTTTAATTTGAGCCATATCAAAGAAGCTCAATGATCAATGTAACTAATTATCATTGGAATATAGCGTTATGTTAAAAAGTCCTGGGAGCTATTTGTGCTATATATATATATATATTTCAATTCATTAAGTTACAGAGACAGTCACCTAATCTGAAACGCCTCCTAACCAAAGCAAAATTCAATTCATCTTTCACAAGGACCGGTTTTTATGTATCTAAATGCCCGGATCTTCGATGTATATTACGCCAAAAAACAAATATAATTTTCATAAGTTTACGTTTAGTGTCAACGACAATATGAATTGTAACACAAACGATTTCATATATGTCTTGACTTGCAAGTAAAATTCCAAATTTTCCCTTTTTATAAAATGAAAACCGATGACATCACGAAAAGGAAATTAATGTACAAACTGGGTGTATATATGGACTAAAAACATATTCAAACTAATTAATTTGTCATAATTTTTTGTTTCAAATCCTTCTCAAACATTGTAATTGCCAAGAAATGCCCTGCTATAAAAATTCGATTAAACCAGGCCATGTTTATGTCACGTGACTTACCTCTTTCGCAAGTCAGGGGAGAATTCATTGCATACATAAGACGATGTTGCTTTTAATCGCTTACTGTTTATTACAAATATCGAATCCTAATTAAATTCTCGGATTATCCACTTTTCCGTCATTTTTATCCCAGAAAGTGGTGTACGTCTAACTCTTCATAAAGTTTATCAACTTGTACATCAAGCGCTCAATGTTCGCGTGTGACCTTTGACATCACGCGTGCAGAAATTCCTAATCGTCGGGCTGTCGATTAGGGGAACCCTTACATTTTTATCCTGTGTACGTTCCATGAGTGTTTTCGGGGAATCCAGTATTTTTCTAGTAAGATTGGATATCTCTACTTTCCATATATACCAAAATTGTCATACTTTTATTGGAAATAAACACCTGATAAATACCTTTCTGGGAACCCATCTATAGTCAATAAGTAACAATTGGCCATTAACTTCATTAATTTTCTTAAATCTATCCCATGACTATCTTCCTCTCATTGTTCCTAAATTGAACCCCTATACTACAGATTAACACATGTGAGTACATGTTTTCTATTAGTTAGCGATATACTATGTAACTAAAGACAATGGTAACCAGTGCCGGACTGGGGTCTGGTGGGCTTCTCCCCCCAGGAAAATTTTGAAACTTGACAACTGCAAACCCACTTTCCAAGCATTTCAGACCAAAGCAGAAGGCAAATTTTTGATTTCCTGATACAATTAGATAACAGAATGGCCTAAGAGCACTATCATTAGATGAATTTGAGAATTCTCTTCAGTGTCAAAAACAAAAACCTTTTCTTTCTCCTGTCCTGTGTCCTGTCCTCTCCTTCCTTCTTTGTTTTCTTCCCTCTCCCTCTCCTTTCTTTCTCTTTTCTTTTTTATCTTTTATTTTTTATTTTTTCTTTATAGGCTTAGGCCCAATTTTTTTAATGAGCTTAGGCCCACCTGTCACGGACAGGTGGACAGGTTGGTCCAGTCCGGCACTGATGTTAACTATAGCCAATCAGTATAAAATATACTATACTGTCCGTTTTTATACAATGACAGTATTTATGAATAGTCCCAAGACTATGGTGGCTGATAGTGGCCATGTTAAATCTCGCCCTCCGTCCTGCATCACTGACAAGGGAAACCACGACGGAAAATCTGAATGAACTTTCTCGGCCAATGCAGGGATCGAACACCCGACCTCCAGGCTAGTGAGCCAGTGTATTACCCACTTAGCCACGTGATTCCTCTAAATAAATATAAATAAGACTCGTTGATTAATTATTTGTTTTCTCAAAATAATGAAACATTTTGTGCCCAAAAGTGAATTATATTTTGTATTATATTCAAAAAATCTAGAATTACAATAGCAGGACCAAAGTGAGTTAATTCCTTGAATAAGAAGTGGTGTCGGGAAGTATCGAACAAGTTAGCATACATTGCCCCGTGTACGACACCCATCAATACTTACAGATGACTGGAGCGGTAGTCTAGACGGGAATTCACCAGCTTTTACATTTGTTTTATTACAGGGTGGGAAGGGGATTGTAGAAAGAATCAAATTGGGCCACATTCTTTAAAATCACCGCATTAGTGTAGCACGCCACCCCAATAGTTGCACTAGAGGTTTTTTTATGAGGTGCAGAAAACGATTCGCAGCTGTTATTGACTTTGTCGCATATTCACTCGTTTGGCATCACTAATGGGATCGAGGCCTAGATGAATAAAAATATGCCCAGTATTGCCTTCAACTATGAACACACTCTAAAAGTCCCATACACCCCTCTCCCCCACGTCTCTTATTTTGTTTTACAAATAATTTCCGAATCAATAAAATGGTATAAATGATGTTTGATACGACTAAACAACATAGGGTAGTAATGAGAAATATTAAATTTTGAATCAGTATCAATGATAACGTACTCAATATGTTCCTTTCAGTGGATCATCATTTAACTTGAAATCAAGGGATCCAGTCGATCGAAGAAAACAGATTTAAAAAAAAATACGTTTCTATATGACAGTATTGGTTCGGTCATGCATTTACATCCGAGGGTGTCATCCTTTCTTTGAAAGTAATGATTGTGCCAAATTTGAACAAAGTCCATCTAGATTCGCGACCTGTAGGTAGAGTGTTGACAGATAAAACGTAAAAATAAAAAAATAGACCTATAAAAATATATTTTCTGAAACTCTTTAAATTTTGAAATTATATTGTTTTTTCACATGTGCTAAGTGTTTTAGGGTCTTGTAGATTAAGACTATAGCGGTGCAACGGTCGCTTCTTGTGTCTCGCATACGTAATTTTCTATGGGGAATGATATCCCTGAGGTGGCACAAAACCCCACGGTATAGCTAACTCACTTTGGTCCTGCTATTGTAATTCTAGATTTTTTGAATATTTTACCAAATATAATTCACTTTTGGGCACAAAATGTTTCATTATTTTGAGAAAACAAATAATTAATCAACGTTTTCCTATTATCTCTTTTGCACGAGTCTTATTTATATTTATCTAATCTGCTACTTATATATGATGTAATGAGTACAGCTGTATTTTTGTGAATTGTAGAAAGAGACAAAGCCGACAATTCCACATCTCGACGTTACGACAAACATAACCGAATGTTACGACTGAGTAAAGTGTCGTGTGATTGCGTCAATACTGTCGTGATGTCGTGTTGTCGCGTTATGAAAAGGGCGAGATTTAACATGGCCACTATCAGCCACCATACACGACGGACGAAAGTACTTTAAAATGTTAAAATGTTATTAAACCAGTGTTGAAATCAGTTTGCCGAAAGATCTTGGCACTAATGTAAAAGTTATTTAAATATAGATTATTTCATCCAAATATTAGTATTTTTTGTTATATATATAATGGAATAGTATTTAAGGTCTCGTCACCACGACCATTTTGAGAGTAATTAAAAAATTTATGGTATTTTTATGTGTTATCTGCGGAGGCTCTGTCAACTCTTCTTCAAAATTCAGCTGCAGATGTTCTCTCAACTGCACGCAAATGTGTACAGGATTGGAGCTCAGTTTTCCGTCCCATCCGAAGGCATCCGATGATATAGAAGCCCCCCCCCCCCCCGACAAATGAAAAGCGGGATTTAACAACCCGAATGTTCTACTCGGCCTCCAGCAGAATTCGAACCTGGGTCATTCTAATTCAGAAACAAATGTCCTACCAATATGTATCAGAGTATAAGCCGACAAGAAAAGATATGCTTTAGATATGCATACTATGCATATTCTACACGCCATATCCAAAATTTAAATGATTTAATAAAAAATTGACAAAATTATGGATAAGTGAACACAGTGGAAGTCCAACAAAAATACAAAATATTACAATATTTTATTGAATATAAAAAAAAATCGATATACAAAGAAAATGTATTTTAACAAAAGTATTTCATTCTCCGTCTCTGTCCCTCTAACCAAATTCTACAGGTACAACTAGGATAAACTTGCATTCCGATTCTGAACTCGAAACTTGTGCCTGGTGAGTGACACTGGCCTCTAGCACCCGGACATTCTGAAAACAAACGCAGATTTTTTTAACCTATTTGCTTTTCTTCTTTGTTTTTAGTAAATTGCATGACAAAAATAATTTAGATTTTCTGTTGTTGTAAACTCGTACACGCTTCAATTAATATACACCAATGTATAAAATTAATTTGCTGTGTGAATCAGATGTGGTATCAGGTGTTCTGGGCTCGTCACTATTAACAGCGAACTAGAGCAATGGTTTTGACCTGCTTGCCTGAAGCCAAACGCTACTGGGTAAAAGGCCACTTCGGCACCAAAAGCAACCGTCCCTAAGTTTTAAATCCGAAAATACAACAAAGTGTTGTTAGTTTTATGAACTCCTCAAAATAACTGAAATGGGTTTAACGCACCAATGAAGACGGACATATGCCATGCAATATGACATGATATAAATTTAGCGTTACGACCTATACTCTTATTTAGAATTCCAACTGTGAGGGATTCTTTTATGTATCACTGCTGGACACTGTTCCGTGACACCACACTGGGAAATCGCGAGGAACTTCCTCGAACCCCGGATCTCTTGGCAAACGAGAAGTTGCACCAGATGTTCTCTAGCAACAACAAGCTTACGCCCATTACAACCACTAGCTAACTCGAACAACGGTTTGAACCTGGATTTCACAAGCCGAAGGCGACCCTCCAGAATATGGTCTCGGCACCAAATTCCACCGAGTCACCGGCTATATAGTTTAAATACAGAAGTACTATAAAAATAGCCATACCATTATCAATAAATCCAAACGAAACTTACTCATTTCTAATATTCTTCCCCTATAATGTTGTTTGTTGTTCAGTTTTCTTGTTGAGCATCTGTAGGTTATACATGCTTCGACCCATGTTTGACCGACCCTGACACATTGTCCCTTTCTGTCAACACAATCTGAAGAACATCGTATTCCAAAATTGATTTGAGCACCAGGAAAATTACTTGGGTCGGGATGCTTTATAAAACAGTACTGACCAGGGTGTTGTCTATTTTGAGGCCGCTTGGGGACATCAGGCCGGTTGTGCATGGGGTCAGACCGACGGCATAGCCAGTTAGGCCGGTTGCGGAGTCATTTCATCTATAGGGAATTTTGAGTTAAGGAATGAGTTACGGTACCTACCCCTAACCCTAATTCTTACACCTAACACTGGTCACAGTGTGATAATTTTCCAACACCTCGGTCGGTATTAAACTCGACTCTCACATGTACATGAATAAAATCAAATCTAATGTTAAACAAATTATGACCATGTTACCTTGGTTAATTAATCGTAGGGTGTTATATTCACACCTGAATCTGGCACAAGGGCTTCTAGGGAGGGTCACAATTTCACCATGACGATATCTTCTTCCTTTATACACACATACAGATACTGTGTTCAAAAACAAATATTACATTCAATTGATGCAGAACCCCGTTAACATCGCAGTTATCAAGTCAACAGATAGAAAGTGAAAATGAAATGAAAGGGGTTAAAAGTCCTACCTTACTGCGCCGACTTGGGTCATGAAGACGGACTAACATCATACAGTGTGCTATAAGGGACAGTTTGCTACAGTCTTCACTGTCATGAGGTTTTTTTACGTGCACGCCAATGTGGCCACGGTGTCCCGTTATTGGTCCCACCGAACGACTAGACACTGTTACTTGTCAGGGTCTCCATCCTGCACAGCTGACAAGAGGAAACCACGCCGAAAAATTCCGAGGAACTTTCTGGGCCAACCCCGGAAGTAAATCAGAGATCGCCTGGTTAACGAACCACCGTCTTTCTCATTCAGCCTCTGCCGCTCCCTCATCAAATAGAACGAGGCGCTTCACGCCAATGCCTCCCTTACTATTTAATAGTCAAAGTGCGCAAATATCTTTGGGGTGGTATCTGAGAAATAGAATATTTTTATATGTATTACCCAACCTATTCATCAAAATGTTTGATAGTTATTAGTCCAGGTGATGTCATCGCATATCCGTGTTATTGATTAGGCTATCTACATTTCCATTTTGTTTGGTCCTGACAACTGTATTTTATTCACATTTGCATAGATTCCCATACTAAATGGAAATTGAATAATGCCGTTGACATTCTTGTAAATGGAACCTTTTTGTTTTCTGGTTTCGCCCTTCGGGACGAATGTTCTTCTCGGAAAAGTTATCAAATGGAAACAGTGATGTCCTGCTCATGAGAGTCTTTGGTTTAAGGTTATACACGAAACAAAATTGGCATTACCTCTTCTATCTGGATTCTGTGACATAACAATACTTGACAACATGGTCAACCCAAGGAACAATAAAACCTTCATCTTGATTTCTGTTATCTTTACTTCAAGACTATCAAACAATTTTGATATATTAATATGAAATACTACAATAAATATACTCTTCAAAAAAGTAGGGGATATTCAGAAACAATACAAAACTGCGGAAATGCACTGCTGTTTTTATTAGAGGTGAATATAAACAGTTCATATGGGCGGCTTATCTGGCGGCCCCAGTTCACTCGCAGAGCGATACACTGTCAAAAGTGAAAATTGACGTTTTTGATTTTTGTCTTAATAATGAGTAATTGCTCCACCAATCCTCAGACATTCAGCAATTCGTCGTGGCATGCTCCTAATCAACCGTCCAATCACGATTTGGGGCGATCTGACCCACTTCTCATGCAGTGCCACAGCTAATTCTTGTAGTGTTGTCGGTTGACGTTGACGTTCCCTATAGGGAAAAGTTGGCCAAGACATATGGACAATATGGTGGCGCTGGAGGTAGTCATTCACGACACGAGCGCGGTGGGCACTGGCATTATCATCTTGAAAGATGAAACGTCGACATGCACGTTGGGCAAAAGGCAGAACTATCGGGCCAGGATATGGTCACGGTACTAAACACCAGTGACCCTTCCTTGAACAATATGCAAGTCCGTTCTGTCAGTCATGGTGATTCCTCCCCACACCATAACAGACTCACGCCCCAATCTGTCATGCTGTCTGACGTTAACGTTAGCGTGACGCTCATTTACACGCCTCCAAACGCGAGCACGCCTATCGGTGAAATCTGGACTCATCTGAGAACATTACACGCGCCCATCGACGATTACCCCAATTTCTACGCTGCCTACACCATTGACGCCTGTTTGCCATGTGCTGGCGAGTTAATGGAGGCACAACACGCGGTCGTCGCGCATGCAAATGGGCTGTATGTAGTCGATTTCTAATCGTTTGGGCTGTAACTCGAATTCCTGTAACTTGGTACAAGTTTACAGAAAGCTGATTGGCCGTTTGTCCTCGATTTCGCAGGACCTGTGTACGAATGTATCGATCCTGGGCCTGTGTAGTGGCTCTAGGGCGACCTGAACGAGGTCTATCATCAACACTGTGTGTTTGTTGGTACCGGTTCCACAGTCTGCTGATCACAGACTGTGACACATTAAGCATGTTGGCTGCTGCTGAACCCATTTGAAGCATGCCAATAGCACGTAGACGTTCATCATGTTGAAGACGTTTCATTGCAAATTAAACGTAACTCACTAAAGCAAAGATACGCTAAACAGTAAATCTTATGCAAGACCCGATAAGAAAGCAAACATGTATAGGATAAACCAGCACGTGGCAGTTTTCATCCACCCTTCCTTGAAGTGTCAAATTTGACAATAAACCCCTCCCACGTGTATGGCGTTATTACGTGTCGCACGGGCAGCTCAGTGGTTCTGTTGGGGCGATAAGTTCTTCATCTGTGAACATACTTTCAAAGCATGTCAAGTGTCCATGACTATTTATCATATCACAACCTGCATAGGTATTTGCATTTCAATATCCCCTACTTTTTTTGGAGATTAGTTTCATTTAGGATTGATTCATGATATGCGATGACATAGTGCAGAACAGATTATGTCACGCCTGTTCGTCAGAAAGAGCGGATAACTCCGGAACGGAAGGTCGCGGGGCTCTGAAAATTGATAGAGGTCTCCATCCTAAGACCCCAGATCTTCCTACCAAATTTTAAATAAAAATCCGGTAAAATGTGAAACTCTCAGAAGCGGAAGGTTCCTCTTATCATAAATTTGAAAAAATAAACATCCGTTTGAACTGCAGCTTATGTCACTTTCACAAGTTTTTAGGAAAAAATCATGGAGGTTAACATCGGATGGGAAGGTCGTGGAACGCTGAATATTGATATGGTTCGTCCTGTCATGACTTAATGCTTCTCACCAAATTCGAATTGTTGATGGACAGACCGACGGACAATACCAGATATCTCCATCTTACGGGCTTCCGTATATTCGTCACCTACTGATTTTTCAAAGCATTGTTACGGACTGCACATTTAAAATTAGTGGACATCAACAATGCCCTTTAAGGCGACTCACGTAAAACGCAAACACGTTTTGTAATTTTCCCAACACGCAAATTACTAAAACAATATCAGCAATCGCTCATTCAACTCCTTGAAAATCACTAAAGTATTTCACGATTTGGAAATTGAAAGTTAAAATATCTCCATCTAAAAGACGGCTTCGCATCTCAGATGTTAACAATACAAAGGTGCAACAAAATTAGTTTGTTGCTTAGTTGGAGCAGGCCAGTTCGTGTTGATCTCCAGCGGAATGGGGGTTTTGATCCATGTTTTCATTCATCTTGCCAGAGGAAGGCTGAACAATCCAAACCACGTTGAAGCACATTGCTCATGACCTTAGTTCGTGTGTAAAGTCACTGCTTTATAAATTATAAACAAGATATTACGTTATATATGTAATAATAAGATTATGAAAAGCGTACTCACCTTCTTCAATACTGGCGCCAATCTAATCACGAAAGTTAATAACTATTTAGAAATTTTACCAAACCCAAACTCAATTATCTTTAATTACATATTGTTATTATTTCACTCACTTATTATCCATAACCTATTGTAAGTATTGTTTTGATATAAACTGACCTTTTATTATTTAACTCTAAATACTTGTACTTACTGACCTAATTTCTTTAAAGTAGCCTGCAATAATATACATCAATGTGGGAAAACGTGTTCTGTATGGAACCGAAAAGCCAAATAGAAAACAAATAAAGCGGGTTTGTCACTTCTTTTAACATCCTTCACAATTCATTTACATAATGCTGTCCAGTAAACGACTATAGAATACAGAAGGCAGATAGTTCCCTTTAAAATATTACCATATATGGTTTGTTAATTAATTCTAGATAAAGGTCGCGAGAAGATAATTGCATAATTATATAGAAATTACAGAATGTTGTTTCAGGGTAGAATGTCATTGATGATTTAATAAGTCGGTCATTGTGTGCACAGGGGTTTGTTTTCGTCGTTTGTTTAGCATTTTTTTTTTTTTTTTTTTTTTTTTTAGCGTTTTCTAGACGTTTCTTCAACACATCGGAGCCGCGGAATTGGAAGTTGAAATTCGATGAAGAGTAGACGGTAACACCGCTGCCTGTCCCAAATTCCCCGCATAGCACACTGCATGACGTATGCCCCTTTTTAATAAACCGGTTGTTGCAGAAAAGTCAAACACCGTTTTATTTCCAAAACGCTAGTACTGCATTAGTATACTTCGGTGGTAAATAATTTTCAAAAATTTAAGAATTTTCAGAATCAACAGATGATAAAATAACGTGAACGGATAATGATTGCTCAAGGATTTAGTAACATCTAAACTATAGAGCCAGGGCAGTCTTAACGCATGGGTATAGAATCAAAGGGGCTCCCTACTAATCTATGTTGTGACTTGCTGTTTAAACAATGGTTTTGTTGGAGGTACCAATACAATAAATATATCTTTAATTTTATAGACCATTTACATTTTTATTTCTGTGAGGGGGTCTGGTGTTTTTTGTAGGTAGGTGCCCTAGTGCACTGCTTTGCCGGGGGCTTATTATGTTGTCAAGACGGTTTTCTAGGCGTTTAGCTAACATTCGCGCAAAAGGTCCCACTTATAATTTTGAAAACGATTTAATAAAAATTGATTATTTTATTTTGTTTTTGAAAGTGATAACCCCTCTTTAAATTAGTGCATTTTTAATTCGGTATCTAATGTGGTTTCCCAAGAGTCTGGCGCACATGGAACCGAGACAAACAGCGACCCTGTGGGGTTTCTATTTTGCTGCATATCCTATAAGAAAATCTCAATTTAAACCTAAAAAAACCCAAACAAAAACAGCAAAATAGAAAGTAACGTAAAGGAGAGGGTGACTCAATACAATGGCGGTTGAAAATGAGGTCAGATCACTTGTGTTCTGCTTTTGTTCGAAAGAGGTGATCAAAGTCAACGCTTTTGTCAAAAAATGAACAACGATTCAGTGAACATATCAACCTGACTAATAGGTTTTAGCGATGTCGAGCCATGGCAAAATAAAATGCAGTTAGTTCCCTTTAAGCACGACAGTCTTAAACATTTCTCTAAATAATGGTCACGCAAGTATTTTTAATGACATTAAAGGACAATATTGGTGCAAGTCATTATCACACATGTGATAGAGCTGGTCTTCGAAGGAATTATTAGTGAGCAGAAATTCGCCCATGTATCTGTTATCACTCGTCACTTCAGTCAGTTATATAGAGGGATGACTCGTGTTTTCCTTTGGCGTTCGTCACTTCCGATTCAGGAAACCTGTATTACTCAGCTATCGTAGCAATGATCTCTGTGTTAAAATTATATTTGGAACGTGTTTAATTAATGTGATAATGACTGACACCAATATTGTCCTTTAATGCCAGTCTGAAAACAGCAGTGGATCTTGGCGTGAGAGATGTGGTAGATCTTTCTCTTGGTTATTGACAATACAGCATAAGCATATTTCATCAAATATTGTTCATAATATACTGCGTCTGCGGACACGAAGTTTATGGCTCATTGAACCGATCCCACAATTCTCAAAACTTAAAATACCTAGTTGACAGAAAAGCACGATATCCCAGAAAAGCGACATGGCGGGCACTGAGACTAGGGCTCTGCACAAGTTCGGATTGGGGGCACAAGGCCCTTGATCCTTGCCCTGTGAAGGGCCCTACTATGGATTTAAATTATGCCAATCTTCCAATTTGACGGGCATCCATGGCCATACTTAACTTACGCTGTCAGTTCACAATTAGCTACGCTTGAGAACAGTCACTAAACTGGTTAGAGGACATATGAATCCCTCAATCGACGATTTTAGTCGAAAACACTAAATTGTATTTCTTAATTCTGGAATACCTGTTAGTTTCTGGTCAACTAGACACCAGAAGGCATGATCTCACTTCAACTCCGTACAGGAAAATCTTGTAAAAGCCGCCTTCGTCACTTCAGAAACATTCTTGGCACTCAGTTATCTTTCGCGTTGAAGAATTTGTTGATAGGACCCGTAAACTTTGCTCATGACAAATTACGGACATAATGTTAGTGTCACATTTAGAAATATGTTTATATCCCATAATGTTGCTATAATGATAAGTCCCTCCCACCACGTCAATTCGATATGGTGGCTAATTGGTATCATGTCGTGATGTCGTAGTGTCGCCCTTCATAAGGCGACAACCTAACAACCCGACATTTTAACCCGACACCACGACATTTTAACCCGATAATACGACGTCTTCACACAACGCCACGACATTAAAAATGTCGTAATGTCCATAGGGGTAGGGGCTCGATGACAGTTAGGGGGGCAGAACCCGAAATGCCCGAAAAAATTTCGGGTTTAAAGACAGCAGCGACCTTGTATACCCCCCCCCCCCCAAAGACAATTTTGGAATATTTGACGACTGCAAACACGTTTTCCTGCTATTGCAGCCGTTGAACAAAGCAACTTCAAAGTGGTCTAATATAGCCTAATTAAGGTGGCTGACTCGGAATTCCAATCAATCGTTTACAGTCCTCGAAGACGGGACCGTTAGGAGTAAATTTTGAAAATTTAACTGCCGCAAACGCGTTTTCCCGATATTTCAGCCAGTGAACAAAGCAACTTCAAGCGGTCTAATATAAAGGCGGCTGACTCGGAATTCCAATCAATCGTTTACAGTCCTCGAAGACGGGACCGTTAGGAGAAAATTTAACTGTCGCAAACGCGTTTTCCTGCTATTTCAGCCGGTGAACAAAGCAACTTCAAAGTGGTCGAATATATATTATAGCCTTATTAAGGTGGCTGACTCGAATTCCAATCAATCGTTTACAGTCAACGAAGAAAATTTTGAAAATGTAACTGCCGCAAACGCGTTTTCCTGTTATTCCAGTCTGTGAATACAGCAACTTCAATTTGGTCAAATATAGCCTCCCTGGCTGACCCGAATTCCAAACAACCAATCAATCGTCGCGCGGTATATGGAGGCCTCAACCTCCCGGAGACAAATTTGAAAATTTAATCACCGTAAATGCGTTTTCTGCTATTCTAGCCCGTGTAAGCAACTCCGTGTAAGCGGTGTCATTTTCTTGATCCAAGTTTAGTGCATCAGTAACTTGTTAAATTGTTTAGACATTTTTCATTAAAATGATCGCTTATATTCATTCGAACTGCGAAATTAAGTTTTTCAGTTTCAATATTACAGTAAACTAAAGTATTATACGTCCATTCGCCCTGGAATCAAAACAGGAGAACCGGTTGTCACGTAACTGTGTGTCTTAAAATATACCCCCGGCAACAATCGCCGCATTGAATATAAATTAAAGTATACGGAGAAGAATTCCAAGACTTTTCTAGACGTGCCAAATTTAACTCCCCGTCAAATTCGTGTTATTGTTCAGTCAATTTCATACGTTTGTTTTGTTTTTGTCAATATTTTCTGTCAGTTAGACTGCATCAAATATTAAGTTTTAAGTTATGTTTTACTTGTTCGATAATTAATAGCTCTATTAAAATTGTTTAACAAATTGTTTTTTTTTTATATTTAGGTTTCGCTCCTGTTCTTGGTCGAAAGTATTCGTCAGATATTTCCGGTTTTATTTCCCTGGTACAGGGCGGGGGCCTAACAAGGACAGTGTCTAACCGTTCGGAGCTGACAAAAAGATTGCGTACGTACGTAAAATCACCCTTGATTTTTGGAATTCAAAATAAGAGTAGGTCATAGCACAATGAATGGCGTATGCCCGTCTTCATTAGCATCGTCGCTGCAGCGACGTTAAACCCCAATCCAATTAATTGTACTTTTGGTTTGAGGTTGTTTTTTTTTGTGATGTCAAAAGTTCGTAAGACGGATGATGCAACTCGCAAAACGCTGTCCTTTATGACGACAATATCAGACGATGCGCTGTGTTAAAAAACTAGTTCATATTGTAAGATGTCTTTAGTCTCAATTTTATGAAGTTTTTTTGTCTCTCCTGAACAATTTTGAAAAAGCCAGATACCACCTCTTGATGCAAGATCAAATCATTATTTTCAACAAGTTTTAGGCAAATCTTTGAATTATCAGAGAAGATGCCAATACCTCAACACCCGCCCCTTACTCGGTCAACGGGGCCCTGTGTTAATGCAAGGTATCAGAAATGAACACACCAATATAATACTTGTACATGATCAAAAATATTAAATGTTAAAAAAAACTAGATAAACTCATCCAAAAACTGGGTATCAAATTCACCGAGATTGCACTGAATGGTGCCAAAATTTATAAATTTTCTCAGTGGGCCGGTTTACCGGGTTTTGTTCAATGGTTTTCGGGATAGCACATAGTGAGATTCCCAGCGACTACATTATATAGTTTGCTTTCTATTATTTCTCAAATAGGCCTACGGATAATAGTTTAAACCTGTTATATTAAATGTAAGACTGTTATTCAATAAACGACAGACGGGTTTACTGTATTACATGATTAGCGCTCAAATCAGCATTAATTCTTTCTTTTACAGCACACCTATTCAATATTGTGTCGGTGTAGATAACTATCACAAAAGATGCATTGTAAATGTAGGTATATATGTTAGTATTTTGTGGCAATTTTCCATCTGTTTGTAGGCCTATCCCTATGGTTACATGGAAGAAACACTATTAACGAGTGAGAATAGACCTGATCGACAGTATATGTATGTACTGTAATACGATCGATCTTCACTATCGGTTTCTAACGAAAGGAGTTCACGCTACGGAATATAACGGAAACCTTGGGTCGACGATAGGTGGCGTTGTTAAACAGGTGCTTGGAATCGTCTTCAGGAATAGATAACGTAAGGACTGTGTGGAAATTTCTTCGTAAGTCAAAATGTAAACCATGTTAAGTAAAGGTTAACTAAACTGTAGCAGTGATTTTAGCTAGATGTATGAGGTATTAATTTATCGCGGCGTTTATGAAGCGTGTTAGAGCTGACAGTTATAAAACCTGTGACATGGGCGGCAGTCACGACTTGTCTTATTTCTGTCAAACTCATTCAGTTAGGAAGTAAAGAAGCAAGACTATTTTCTTGGCACCAGAGACAGAGATTTCAAAGTTGTTGCAGGAGCTTTCTATATTTGGATGTTATAAGATGGCTTTATTGAAAAAGAATTGTGCATAATTTTTGTGTGAATAGTATTCCTGTTAAATATTTACGAAACCTGTCAGTAGCCCTGTGTGGAGCTACTTAAATCTTTAAGCCGTCATGCCAACAAGCAATGTGTCTGGAACAACACCCTACAGCACTGAAGAGTGTCTGAAGGAGCGTTATTGGTACGCTTTCCTTACGTCAAGTTTAGTTACGTTTATGTTCGGATTTGTAATTATTGTAAGTTATCGTATTATTGTATTGGCATTTTGCCGCAAGAAGAAAAATCAAATATCTTATAGAGCTGCACATACAGGTACTGGATCCCACAAGTTATCGCCAAATGTTGGTCCGGGAGGAACATCTAATCCATTATTTGTTAAATCTGCGGATCCAGAAATAGGATGGATGACAGAAGCCAAAGATTGGGCAGGAGAATTGATATCGGGACAAACGACCACAGGAAGAATATTGGTATGATTTTTTTTTTTAAGATGCCATTGATCATAATAACAATTTTTATATGTCCACATTGAAATGTCTGTCAATTCGTCATCCACAATATAAAATTAATCATCTCTTTTAAATTTAGAATATATGTTTGTTGTTTACTTTAGTGAGAAGAGAAAGTCAAGACTGTTAATATTATTATTATTATATCAATTTCAGCAATATCTGACAATAAATTCCAGAGTTATTATATATTCTTGTTCACTTTGCAGTGTCATGTTCCAACAACACATTTATCATCCAACAAGCCCGCAAGTGCTCCTTTGTCCAGGTTATTGCACGCAAATGAAATAATTATCAGTTAGATACAATGACGCCTGATTTTAACATATAAGTGAGACTTCTATACTGATCCCTGGGTTGAGAGGGACCCGATTGGATAACTGAACAGTCGATCTTTATTTCAACCCTGTCTCACTTTCGTTACATCTTTGACAGATTAGGTTTAAAAAAAAAAAAGACAACGGGATAGAGTTTTTCTCACAATCTTTCCTTATCCATCAAATAATTCAGTAGAAACAAATGGTTGCCATGCAAGATACACCCACATTTTGCAAGAAATGTATGGGGAAAAGGTAAGATCAATAGGGCCCAATCCTTTTGATCCTTAAAATATTTGTTAAGTTTTCTCAGAATGGGATAACGATTTTAGCCCTCTTGGAGGACCTTCAAAAATCATACATATTTCACATTTCACATGATTATGAAATAGAATCGTGTCAAAGTCCCGCTAATATTATACAGTACAAAACTTCTAATTTACCTAAATATCACAGTATGACTGTCAGGTTTTTTTGCCTGGCAGCTCGATTGCTTGTTTTACTACACATGTTTCAAAATCTTAGACTTGGGACACTAACCAATATAACCTGGTGTCTACCAGTATAAATAATTTTTAGAAAGAAAAGAAATAATAGTAATGTATGGTTTAAAATCACTTGTTTATATGTACATAACAACAACACATGGTATTTTTTAATTGGCTGAGTATTAATCAACCATAATCACTGCTACAAGACTAGTCAAGAACCTTCAGTACTGTGCCAGCTGTTTTACAAAAAGACAATTCAAAATTTTGTTTTGTCATTGAAATATGAACTATTTATGTGGTATATAATTTATATTTATTTCATGTCCTATAAAATTTTGTTTAACCATTAATAATATGTTTCTGTTTATTTTCCTTGGAGGTTTTTATCATTCTCTAACAGGAAAGCCACAGTGGCTCAGTGAGTAAGCCGTTGGCTTGCTAACCTCGAGTACCTGTGTTTGATCCCTGTTTTTGTTGAGAAAATTCATCGGGATTTTCCGGCGTGGTGCCCTTTTGTCAGTGGTGCTGGATAGTATAGTTGTTCAGATGAGATGAAAACCAAGGTCCCATGTACATGTACACATTGGCATGCACTTAAAAGAGCCCTTCTTGGGAATTGGATATAAGAGTAGTCTTTAGTGCTGCTTTCCGGGCAACATTTCCCACTGTATGGTGTATGCCCGTCTTCATTATCCCAGTGGGAGCAGAACATTAGGACATTAAACCCCATTTGATTTCATTCTGTAATAGCTCGGACACACTAGCCAAATTTTTATGGTGAATTATTCAGGTGCACCCTTTGCAAATGAATTTCACCTTGCCTGAACTTCAGCCGACACCATTTTCCAATACATGTGTACATGTATATCAAACATATTTCAAATTAATCGCCGAAGTATTTATTGCTGCCTCTATTATGTGACCAAAAAAACATGTATAAAATCCAATGAAATCGACAATTTTATTTATGACCCTAGTCAAAGATATTCAGTCATTTTACAGCAGGTATATTACAACTTTGATGTATGAGGAAATACACTAGGCCAAGTAAAATTAATTACTTGTTTGGGTGTCATACTTGTTTCGCATCACTAGTTTGGGTGTCATAGCATTCAATTTGTGTTTTTTCAATGAAAATTTATTTTTTGTAATTAGAAGAGCCTAGTTTGACATAATATGGGGATTTCCCCACTCTTTTAAATTACAAACACTTTATTTCAGGTCAATATTTTAAAAAAAGCAAGGTGTAATATTTTCTATGCACTAGTAGAGCTACATAATGGTTTTCCTATGATCTTTGAATTATTCATTCTGGATTGATTTATGGTTGTTTTTATTATAAAAGTCCCCACAACATCTTATGTTGATTTTATTATAATACCGGTACTGCCTGTGCTTGTGACAAGTACATATATAATTTATTAATCTTCTTGACACATGACCATAAAGACGTAATTCATTCAAGTACCGTAGACAGTAGATTATACCATTTACGAAGTGTCGCTGAATAATTCTTTCTCTTTCAAGTCTCTAGGGCAGTGGCTGCAGGGACAAAATCCAAGGTACAAAGCTTCAACTAGGGGTATGGCGTGGGGGGCCCTCCTACAGAAATGTTTGAGAAACAGACTTCCAGAAATGCAGTCTGGCACTATTTCAGGCACTGATCATCGAGATAAATAGATCTGACCAGATACCGTCTGTCGTCTGACTACTACATGTAGTTTATCTAACCAAAGGGGAAAGTGTCAAACAAACGGTTGGGGGGGGGCAAACAGAAGGCAGACAACATTTATGGGAGGGCAAAAGCCCCCCTCCCCCTTTGGTGCCGCAAATGCTCTAGGGCTTGTTGTATGTCCCAGGTTTGAATCCTGATGTGAATAGAGGAGACACTCCACGTTTTCAAAACCCAGTTCCAACTATTCAGGGTTAGTGCTGGCTCAATTGATGAGGAAAGTGTGCCTGTCATTTGGATGAGATAAAAAAAACAATAGTTACATCCTTTGTACATTGGTTTACAATCTATTAGGCTAAAAAGAGGTACATCACTGGCTTCTTTATTTTGTCTGCAGAGTATTCCGAGTGTTGGAAAATTTCAATTCAATTTTAAATACTGAACAGAATTGAACCATTGTTTTTCCTTTTAGAGATTCATCTTTCACAATACATGGTACGGTAGTAAATGTACATGTATGAAAGGTACTCAATATCCCTCATGTGACAATCCATAATTTTAAGAAGCATGGTATTTCAACATTTTTATGATAACTAGAATTACTTACTACTGGTACATGTACAGATGTATGTGTTGATTAGGATATTTTTAGCAACTTTTTCCAGAATAACTATTTCTTACATTTACATCCAGTTCTTACATTCCATGTATTAAAACTATATGTGAATAGTGCATATACAGTACATTCCGTGTATTAAAACTATGTGAATGGTGTTTATACATTCCATGGATTAAAATATGTATAGTTCGTACAATATGTGCCATGTATTTAAACTATCTATATAGACATAGTTCTTACATTTTGCGAAAGGTAAGAGATTTATAAACAATAGTAAATAAGCTACATTTCTAACCTTATGTTTTTTTAATCCCCCTGTTCTGATATACTTATAGCAGAAATCCTCATACATACAGTACTAAATTTACTAGTACGGTAGTAGAATTGGCAGGTATTCAGGCAAACAAATATCTGAGGTAAAAAATATACATACCACAATAGAAATAGAATAAATTGCTATTCCTAATAGCTTTCACACAAATATTAAAATTAGAGTATTTTTTAAAGGCCATTCAGACTTATTTATTTACTTTTCACTATTCTGTGTTAAAGTCGATCCATGTGATTTGAGCAATATACATTGTAGGAATCCCTTGCATACTACACTACTATATTGTAAAAGTTAAAGATACATTATGGGAGATTTTTATAAGGAGTTAGCCATTCTTGCTATAACAGTTCAAAAATAGATGATGAAAGAAGAATATATTGAAAATTTCAATCAAATTACTTTATTCTGAACATAGTTATCACCAGTGTAATTTTTGACTAGAAATGGGATTGAATTCCATATTCACCGATTCTTAGTATGGCCGATCATTTGATTGACAGGCGTTAACTCCACCTACATAATCTCTGCTGTCATCATATCCGAATAAATTTGTGTTTTACCTTTTTTGATTTTTATAACAATTGGACAAAATAAGTGAGAGGATAAATTTTCATTCTTACTTGTATTTTGGGCATGCATTAAATCAATTGAATATAGGACATAATATTATAATACAATTATGATAAATCTATAGGTACATGTATACACCAGTGGCGTCGTGCCTTTTGGGGAAATAAAAATATTTTTATTGATATTATTAAGACAGAGACCTGTCCATCTGTATTAGTCATCACACGGTCTCTAGGAATTGTATAATTTGTCATTATCTGTGTTTAGTCTATTGCACTTTAAATAGTTTAGATGTCATTTGTTAAGGCATCGCTCAACAGCGGCCTCGCTTCGTACACTCTATCATTTAGCCTCGATCCGGGAGTATGACGTCAACGTAACGGTTAATCTCCGCTCACAACGCCATTTAAAATTAAATCAGTCAACGAAATCCCGTTTAAATCCAAGCTGAATCCAAGCCATCCGTGAGTCTACAGAGTTGATTTTGTGCTTGTTGTGTAAATAAAGATCTAATTTATAATTTCTATGACATCTTAAGCCTAAATAAAGACTTGCAATAATATCAGATTTAGCTCTTGCATAATGTATGTTTAAATCGTCTCCATTACGAAAAAAATGGTCCTATTTCGTCCATATGATAAATCGAAATTTCGCTGATCTATACAACTCCCTACAGTATGTAAACAAGCACAACGCTATCTTTATGATTCACAAAATCTATCTGATTGAATCCAAGCTGGGAGATTATCGAACATTGATATTTTGATTTTGTTTTCTTAATTAAATATTAGATTGTCAATCTGAGTACCAGTAGATACATGTATTAAATTGGATTAGGCCATGAGAAATTTGATATTTTCAAAAAAAAAATGCATATTGTGCAGTTACTTTGATTAATGCAATTGTTTTAGTTTTTTGTCTCCTAATGAAAATATTTCCATTTATATAATAATTCAGTAAA